CACACAGTGCTGGTGGGAATGGAAAAAATGGTGTCATCACTTTAGAAAACAGTCTGGTGGTTTCTCAAATGATTAAACAGAATTGCCATGTAATCTAGCAATTCCATTCTTAGAGAACTGAAAATATGTCCCTATAAACATTTATACATAAATGTTCATAGCAGCATTTTTCCTAATAGACAAAAAGTAAAAATAATCCAAATGTCCAACTGATGAATGGATAAATAAAATGTGATATGTCCATACAATAGAATGTTATTTAGCAATAGAAATGAAACACTGATTGATACATGCTGTAACATGGATGAGCCTTGAAAACTTGCTCAGTGAAAGGAGCCAGTCGCAAAGGGCCACATATTATATAATTTCATTTATATGAAATATGCAGAATAGGAAAATCTATAGAGGCAACAAAGCTGATTATTGGTTGCTTAGGGTGTTGGAGGGAATTGGGTTAGGAGTGTGAGGTTTCATTTTAAGGTGATGTATAATGAATGTTCCAATATCAGGCTGGGCATGTTGGCTTATGCCTGTAATCCCAGCACTTTGGGAGACCACAGTGGGTGGATCACTTGAGCCCAGGAAGTTGAGACCAGCCTGGGCAACATGGCAAAACCCCATATCTACAAAAAATACAAAAATTAGCCGGGCATGGTGGCATTCACCTGTAGTTCTAGCTACTTAGGAGGCTGAGGTGGGAGAATGGCTGGAGCCCAGAAGGTAAAGGTGGCAGTGAGACAAGATTGCGTCACTGCACTCCAGCCTGACAGAGCCATACCCTGTCTCAAAAAAACAAACAAAAGAAACAAAAAAGTCCCACTATCAATTGTAATGGTTGCACAACTCTGTGAGTATACTAAAAGCCATTGAATTGTATACTTTAAATGAATGAGTTGTGAGTTATATGAATTATTATTATTATTATTTTAAACCTGAACCTCCCAAGCATGAGTGAATTATTTCTTAATATAGCTGATAAAAGCTGGGCTCGGTGCTCATACCTGTAATCCTAGCACTTTGGGAGGCTGAGATGGGTGAATCACCTGAGGTCAGGAGTTCAAGACAAGCCTGGCCATCATGGTAAAACCCCACCTTTTAAAAAAAAAAAAATATATATATATATATATATATATATATAGCTGTTAAATATATATATATAGCTGATAAAGCTATAGATATACAGCTGATAAAGCTATAGATAGATATATAGCTGATAAAGCTATAAACAGCTGATAAAGCTATAGATATATATATAGCTGATAAAGCTATAGATATATATAGCTGATAAAGTTTTATATATACACACACACATATATATATGTATATATATATGGCTGATAAAGAGAAGAATACACACTCCAGAAACAATGCCTGAGTTCAAAATCTTGCTGTGCTGTGACCTTGGGAAAACCATTTCACCTATGCCTGTTTCCTCATTTGCCAAATGGGAAGAATAACAGAACCTACCTCATAGGATTGTGAGAACTCAATGAATTATAACACAAAGCCTGCCACATGGTCACTTCCATCATTAACAAAGTGAGCCTCATGAAGGCAAGGGTTGTCTCTGTTTTGCTGATAATCATCTCCAGTGCTTGGACCCTAACAAGGAATGACATAGTTAAAAAATTAATCCATTCTCCCAATATCAGTTTCCACTATTTCAAATCGCTAAATTGCAGCTGTTTCCCAGCAGCTTACTACTGTTCCATGATACTCAGAAACTACTGTCCACTTCACCGTCTCCATATATTCACCTACCACTGACAACCAACACTGCCCAAAACAGTTGGCTTTGCCTTCATCCTCCGTGACTCACTGAAAGTCAGTTTACTGGGTATCTGATATTTTCACCTGCCTAGCATCCATGGCTCTTTAGTTTTCCTCTGGGAACTATTTATTTCCTATTGCATGCTATTTTCACAAAATTGCCTATTAAGATGAGTCTCCTGCCTTTTAGTAGAAGATGGGGATGTGACTGACCTTAGCCAGGCCAATAGAACTCTAGAATTTGCTTCTAATTTGGTTTTTGAGCAACACAGCACAAGGAACCCCCAAACACGTCCTTGTTTGTTTGTTTCTTTTATTTGGAGATGGGTCTCTGCTATGTTGCCTAGCTGGTTTCAAATGTCTGGCATCAAGGAATCCTCCTGCATCAGACTCCCAAGTAGCTTGGACTACAGGTGTGCACCATGGCACCTGCCTTGGGGGCCCATCTGTTTTTACTTTTTTTTTTTTTTTTTTTTTTTTTTTTTTTGAGACGGAGTGTTTCACTCTTGTTGCCCAGGCTGGAGTGCAATGGCGCGATCTCGGCTCACCGCAACCTCTGCCTCCTGGGTTCAGGCAGTTCTCCTGCCTCAGCCTCCTGAGTAGCTGGGATTACAGGCACACGCCACCATGCCCAGCTAATTTTTTGTATTTTTAGTAGAGACGGGGTTTCACCATGTTGACCAGGATGGTCTCGATCTCTTGACCTCGTGATCCACCCGCCTCGGCCTCCCAAAGTGCTGGGATTACAGGCTTGAGCCACCGCGCCCGGCTGTTTTTACATTTTAAAAGGCTGTCCATGTTTACTGAGCAGACAGAGAAAGGCTTCATATTTTGGACAAAGGGAAACTCTTACTGAAAGCCCAGAAATTGGAGAACAGTTGCAAGCTCAATACAAGTAAGCAGTAACTGTGAAATTAGGTGGGCAGTAGGGAGCTATGTGATCACATATTCCTGGGATACCTAAACTATAACTCAAACTATATAAGAGGAAAATTGGCCAGGTTAGATGCATGATGATACTAAAGGTACACACTATGTGTACACATTAGAGTGTACAAATTAAGTGTACACTTAATACTTAGTATTAAGTGGTATATCATTGTGTGGATAATATGAGAATAATGGAAATTTAATATTGGTTAGAAAATACAGGCCAGACCAGGTGTGATGGCTTATGCCTATAATCCTACCACTTTGGGAGGCTGAGGTGGGTGGATGGCCTGTGCTTAGGAGTTCAAGACCAGCCTGGGCAACACGGTGAAATCCCGTCTCTACTAAAATACAAAAATTTAGCTGGGCATGGGGACATGCACTTGTAGTCCCACTTACTCGGGAGGCTGAGGCAGGAGAATTGTTTGAACCCGGGAGGCTGAGGTTGCAGTGAGCCGATATCACACCACTACTCTCCAGCTTGGGTGACAGAGTGAAACTTTGTCTCAAAAAAGAAAAGAAAATACAGGCCAAACACTGGCGCTTTATGGAACCAGGAATTTGAAGGAGAGTGAAATGGGGAAAAGTATGGTGAAGAGTGATGGGCTGATAGGAGAGAATATGGGGGTATGGGAAGAAAATTAATTTGGGGGCTGGAATGAGTTTAACATTGGAGACAGCTGTGATGGGGTGAATGTCAGGGAAGAGTGGAGTACAATATTGTGACAGTAATCAAGTATTTGGGGAACAACATAATGAATACTGAAATAAGGTGATCAAATGGGGCTGGATATTTAGGAGACTATTGAAGACAATATTAAGACTGTAGAGAAAATAGGATCTAATAAAAGTATAGTCATGGGAACCAGATGTTAGAATTTGGGGTAGAAAATGGAGGTCCAGACCAGGACCAGTGGCTCACGCCTGTAATCCCAGCACTTTAGGAGGCTAAGGCAGGTGGATCACTTGAGGTCAGAAGTTCAAGACTAGCCTGGCCAACACGGTGAAACCTCGTCTCTACTAAAAATACAAAAAAATTAGCTGGGTATGGTGGCACGTGCCTGTAATCCCAGCTACTTGGGAGACAGAGGCAGGACAACTGTTTGAACCCAGGAGGAAGAGGTTGCAGTGAGCCAAGATCAGGTCACTGTACTCCAGCCTAGGCCATAGAGTGAGTCTCAGTCTTTAAAAAAAAAAAAAAAAAAAAAAGCTGGGCATGGTGCCAGGCACCTGTAGTCCCAGTGAGTTGGGAGGCTGAGGTACGAGAATCACTTGAACATGGGAGGCAGAGGTTGCCACGGGCCAAGATGGTGCCACTGCATTCCAGCCTGGGCCACAGAGGGTCCGTCTCAAAAAAAAAAAAATAAATAAATAAAAGAAAATGGAGGCCCAGATTTGGTGGCACAAAAGGGCCATGATATTGCGGAACAATGATCAAATGTTGAGGAACAGAGAACTGTGGTTTGGGGAAGCAGGGAGGAGTCTACTCTACTGTCTACTCTACTATCAGGAGATTGGCTGAGGAAAAGCAGCTGGGGGATCATATCCCGAGTAGTCATCGAAGGGCTGTATGAGAGATGACAGGAGCTGTGTGAAAGGAAAACAGCGAGATCAAATGTTTGGAGAGCACTAGGCTATATATTGGGAGTCAGTGAGCAGTCAGCACTGAGAGATAGTAGAAGACAGAATATCGAAGATTGAAAGCTGGAAAATAATGAGCGAGAAATGTTGTGGTACTTTGCAGACATAATTTTGGGAAATAGTGCCACCAATTGCTGTTGGGGAATTGTAGGAAAGTGATTGTAAAGCACAGGCTGATACTGGGGAACAGTGGCTGTCATACTTGTGGCACTCAAGTGTCTCAGGGCAAGATACCAAGGCACACAGTGATCTGGGATTATGGGAAGTCAGAACTGAGAAACGACAAGGCCCTGTTATTGAAAATACGGAGTTTGTAAAGACCCAGGGGGCAAATTCCAGAGCTTAGTTGGGGGGCTGTACTCAGTCTTAATAATGGAGGCAAGTGTAGACTAAATACTGAGGGGCAGTAAGTAATGCCACAGCAGGATAGTGGCTGATCTGCCATAAGGGATGGTAGACTCGGACACTGGCATGTTGTGAGGACTTGATATGGAGAAAGATGCCATTGTAGCTATTTAGTGGAGGGAGAGGGGGTATTTTGGAATGCTGAGTCAGGGGATTAGGTCTGTTTTGGAGGGACAGTAGGGATGCTGTGGAGCAGGCCACAGGAAGCTTGGCAGGACCCACTGCAGAGTTGGCAATTAATAGAGAACTGAATATAGAGGAGGCTGCAAAAGAGATCATTTATTCCATCAGAGGGCTCACAATTACAGACATTTGCAAGTAAAGGATATGCAGGGTTAGAGCACTGCGTTTTGACATTTAACATTCATGAGTAAACAGAGATGGCCGATGGATAAATAGCTTGCCAAGGTGGTTTCTGGTATTAAGCCTTTTGAGTCTAAGATGACAAACCCCTAGGGGTCAGGTGGTTTTCCCACATGAACTCTGTCAGTGACAAATCCCTCATCCCCTTTTGTCTTGGGTCCCACAGCTACAGAAGGGCTCTGGGCCAGGACGAAGCCATCCTAGAGTCCCCAAGGACAGCCCTCCCGTAGACCCCTAAGGCCCCCGGAGTCTCATCCTGGGGAGTGCGCCAGCGTCCCGGTGGCGTCTGCAGCCACGGGTCCCACGAGTCCTGGACACTTTCAGAGCGTAGTCTCCTGGTAAGACAGCTCCTCCGGCTATGACTCTCAGGGCAGCCACAACAAAGTCTAAGGCAGGAAAAACGCACAGAGGGGATCAGCCAGAGCCCCTGGGGGCGAAGCACGAAACTCCGACAAACGCCACTTACCGAGTCCCGCGCTCCAGCTACGCCAGGGGCACACTCTCGTCCTCTCTCGGCCGCACCAACTCCGGGACACAGCTGCCTCCTCCTGGGGGCGACGCAGCATCACAGGGCTCCGGCCCAGCCCGGGCCAGGGCGCCGACCCTCCCAGCAGGGCCCTCACTAGAAGGCTGCGGGTCTGGGTCTGGCTCATCCCTTAAAGAATCCAAGATTGGGAGCACTCTGAGCTTCCCAAACACAAAATGATGGGATCCCTGCGCGTGCCCCCACGTCACAGAGTGGTGGGGGTTCAGGGACATTCTCCTAATTATAAACGGGGTTCAATCACACCCCAGAATTTTAAACGTCACTATCCCTCACCTGCAGTTGCAAATAGTACCTTTATTTCATTGCCGGCAGCTACTTTGTACCTTCCTACTGACAAAGATAGTGACAACAAAGGAAAGAAACAAGCATGGAAAGCTACATGAAGGGGGTGCGGCGCTGTTCCAAAACACAAAATGCTGAGCCGTTTTCCCTTTCCCTCCACGCCTGGTCCTGCACCCACCACGTCCCGCGCTGGCCACTTAGGCAAGCTGTAAATGGATATAGGTAAAGATGCAGGAGGTGATGGAGAAGGCGATGGCCGCGTAGATGAAGATGGAGAGGTGCGGAAAATGGTCGAGATAGCAGCCCTCGTCTAGTGGAGGCGCCTCTTCCTTGGGCGGGGGGCGCGCTGCGGCCTTTGGGGGCTGCCCGGCGCGGCCCCCCTGTGTCCTCCCGCCCACGCGCCGACCAGCCTTCTTGCCCGCGGCCGACGCAGACCTGGGCGCGCGGGCAGCGGGAGGGTCCTCCGGGGGAGGCTTGTCAAACAGGCCTTCGGACTCGGGGTCAGGGCGAATCTGCTCGGGACCCCAGGGTCTGCGCTGAAAGAGTTCGTCAGCCATGGGGAGGAGCGCAGGCAGGTGGGTCAGCTGGCTCTGGGTCGGGGCGCAGTGGGCGGTGGTCTCGGCTGCGGCTGTATTTCTACAGCCCTGGGCGGGGGCGGAGCCAGAGGGGCAGGGGGGCCTCTGCAGGGTCCGCGGGGCCTCTCAGCCGAGGCGCAGCTTCCCCTGGCTCCTCCTTCCGCCCCCAGCCTGTTGCAGAGGCTGACTCGCTAGATTACAGTTCCCTGGCCGGCCGGCGGCTTGGTAGTCTAGCGCCGCAAGGTTTATCTCCATGGCAACCAGGCTGGCGGCGCGAGAGGCAGGATGCGCAAGCCCCTGGCTGGGACCCCGGGACACGAGCAGGCTTGGCACCTGAGAAGCCGAAATGCAGCCAGCCAGGCTCTCAGCTGCGTGGGGAGCGTCCCTTTTCTCCTTGTAAAAGTAATATTTATTGTGGGGTCTGTTTTAAATTTTAATTTGAATACGTGAAACGCACTATCTTTGTAGAAAACTAGAAATTGAGAAAACAGTGTAGGTCAAATCAGTAGTAAAATAAAGCCTCCCACAATCCCAAGGACCAGAGATAAAACAGCTAAAGATTTGGTGCATTTCTCTGCCGCCTTCCCTTTTTCTCCGTCTCTCCATCTCCATCTGTATCTGTACAACCTGTTTCTCTTCTTGCTCTTCACTCGCAAAAGCAGGATTCCAGGCTTTTGAGCATCTCACATGACTAAGAACAAGGCCTGCCTTACGTAAGCCCATTTCTCGGACCCACCTGGGGTCTACTCAGGCCTCCTTGTCATCCACCAAGCCCTCCCGTTTCATCGGTACTGCCACAGGCTGCTGGGTACTCACATGTCCTGGCATCCCTGTTGCACCTGAGGTTCCAAGGCTGGCTGCTGTTCCCTCCTGGAATAGAGGAAGAATAATCACTTGGATTTATTTGAGTCTCAGTAGATTGGAGGCGTCCACTGGTCAGCTCTGTTAGTTGCAGCAAATCCAACTCAAACTGCCATCATGAGAACTCCCCTGCCTCCTGCAAGTAAAAGGCCCAGGGTGAACCAAGACCAGGGTGTTGAAACACTGTAACCAGGGTGCTGCCTCTCTCTGTCTTACAGTGTTGCCAGGGAGTTCCTGCATGGCCAGCGCCTACTAGGTAGTGGTAGGTACTCAGGTTTTTGCTGAATGAATGATGCAGTGAATAATGGCAGCAGCAAACTCATGTCCTCACAGCTTAACCACCTCAGCTAAAAGGGCTTCCAGGGGGGCTCACACCTGTAATCTCAGCACTTTGAGAGGCTGAGGCGGGCCACGAGGTCAGGAGATTGAGATCATCCTGGATAACATGGTGAAACCCCATCTCTACTAAAAATACAAAAAATTATCCAGGTGTGGTGGCACGTGCCTGTAGTCCCAGCTACTCAGTAGGCTGAGGCAGGAGAATTGCTTGAACCTGGGAGGTGGAGGTTGCAGTGAGCTGAGATCGCGCCACTGCTGTCCAGCCTGGGCAACAAGAGTGAGACTCCAACTCAAAAAAAAAAAAGCGGGGGAGGGCTTCCAGTTGGCTAGGATGAGAAGATGGCACCCTCATCTGTGATGCTGAAAATGTAAAATGGTACACCTACTTTTGAAAACAGCTTGGCACTTTCATAAAAAGTTAAGTATACACTTACCATCCAACCCAGCAATCCCACTCCTAAGTTTCTACCCAACAGAAATGAAAATGTGTGTCCACATAGAGACTACTGCTTGAATGTCCATAGCAGGATTGTTGGTAACAGCTGAAAACTGAGAACAATCCAAATGTCCGTCTAATGGTGAGTGGATCAACTAAATGTCATTTATCTATGCAACTGATCACTATTCAGCCATAAAGTAGTTCACTCATAAAGAGTGAACAACTGACCCAAGTGCTGTGGCAAAAGCCTGTAATCCTAGCACTTCGGGAGACCAAGCCAGGAGACTAAAATGGAAGGAAGTGACTGTTGGATTGGAAGAAAGTGAAGAAACAGAGTGGTATGAGGGATGAATGGAAGTATATGAAAGGTGAAACTGAAAGGTGTGGAGAGTGGAATGGAAGGATTTGAAAGATGAAATGGAAAAGTGTGTAAGGTGGAATGAAATGGTATGAAGGATGGATAGAAGTTTATTTATTTATTTATTTATTTATTTATTTATTTATTTATTTTTTGGAGATGGAATCTTGTTCTGTTTTCCAATCTCGGCTTACTGCAACCTCCTCCTCCTGGGTTCAAGGGATCCTCCTGCCTCAGCCTCTGAGTAGCTGGGATTACAGGTGCATGTCATCATGCCTGGCTAATTTCTTGTAGAAGAGACAGGGTTTCACCACGTTGGCCAGGCTGATCTTGAACTTCCTGACCTCGTGTGATCTGCCCTCTTCGGCCTCCCAAAGTGCTGGGATTACAGGTGTGAGCCACTGTGCCCAGTCGGATGGAAGTATACGAAGGGTGAAATTGAAAGGCGTGGAGGGGCATGAAAGAACATTTTAGGTGTAGTGAAAGAATGTGAAGAATGAAATGGAAGGTTGCGAAGGGTGGAATGGAAGGACATAGAAGGATCAGAGTGTGAACAGTGGAATGGGAGGATGTTTAGGGTGGAATGAAAAGTTTGAAGGATGTCATGGAAGGGTGTGAAGAGCGGAACTGAAGGGCGTGAAGGGTGAACTGGGAGGATGCTTAAGGTGCAATGGAAGATGTGAAGGATGGAATGGAAGGACATGAAGAGAGAAATGAAAGGACATGTAGTGGACTGGAAGAGTGTCAAACGGTGTGTAAGGTGGAGTGGAAGAATGTGAAGGTTGTAATGGAATGAGGTGAAGAATGGAATGGAAGGGTATGAAGGGTGAAATGGAATTGTGTGATGGATGAATGGAAGGGTGTGAGGGTGGAATGAAAGGGTGTGTAGGGTGCAATGGGAGGGTTTTCAGGGTGTAATGGAAGGGTGTATAGAGTGGGATGGAAGAGCTATGTGTAGGGCTGTGGCTTTGAGAAAGTCACACAAACCTACCTATGGGGTTTAGGTGGGAGTCGGTAGTGGGGAAGTCTCAGTAACCAAGAGGGTCTTGGGCAGAACCATGCAAAGGCTTACTGGGAGGAGCTGGGTACAAGTGAGGAGTGCAGGCGTTACAAGTGCTTTAGCAACTGCAGGGTCTATTGCATATTAAGAAGGTGTGAGGCTAAACCTGGAGCTCAGACAGCAGAGGCCTAGGTGTCTCCAGGACACCTTGTTATTTTTTACCTGGTCTATCTGTATAGAAATGAATATATTGCAAAATAGTACTGGTCCCAGCCCAGGTGACCCTTGGGGGCTCTGTCAGGAATTGAGAGAGCTTGGCTGACTCCATGGCCTCACCCTGGTGCAAGCTATGCCTGTGCACAGCAGTGAGAGCTAACTTTGTCCCAGACCAGGAACTTTAGGACCCTTAGACATCCCTGACAGTACAGACACTGGAAGGTCCCAAGTTACAACTTCCCTCTCTGCTTGGCACCAGAGTGTTCCAGGAAAAACCTCATGAGTCCAAGGCCTGGAGCCAGAATCCACCAAAAGACCCTGAATGGACAAAGACTGCCTTTAGCTCCTGTTTCTGGGACCTGCCCAGAGTACATACACCTCTCAGAGGTGACAGAAAGCCCTCTTCTAGGAGGATCTTTGCTTCTGGGCTTTACTTTGATGGGTTTCCTTCATCTATGTGGGGTATTTGTCCCTGAAAGAAGGATACTGTTTGAGTCAATAGGAATCAGGGATTTCAGTCTGCCAGGCCAAAGCCTGGATCTGGACAGTGGCCAGTTAACCATGTTGGTGAACCCTAGGACACACATGGATGATGGCAGTGACAGCAGCAGCCACCAACAATCACTGAGCACTGACTGTGTGCTAGGAACTGTGCCCAACATTTCTGCAGAGATGGTCTCAAGTTTCATGACCCCCTAAATTAGGCACCAGTATTTCCTCAAATGTTCCAATGAGGAAACTGAGGCTGAGAGGTAAAGGAATCTGTCTAAAATCTGCCACTAATACTGACTACTGGGGGCTGGGTGTGGTGGCTCACATCTATAATCCCAGTACTTTGGGAGGCTGAGGTGGGTGGGTCACCTGAGGTCAGGTATTCAAGACCAGTCTGGCCAACATGGCCAAACCCCCTCTCTACTAAAAATACAAAAATCAGCTGGGCATGGTGGCATGCACCTGTAATTCCAGCTACTCAGGAGGCTGAGGCAGGAGAATCCTTGAACCCAGGAGGCGAAGGTTGCAGTGAGCTGAGATCACACCACTGCAATCCAGCCTGGGTGATAGACCAAGACTGTGTCTCAGAGAAATATAAAATAGAATAGAATAACATGAAATAAAACACTGACTGCTGGGGTTCTAACCCACGTTCCTCTGACCCAAGGGTAAGAGGTATACCTCCCAATCCCCACCCCCTCAGCTACCCACCCCAGGCTTGCTCACCTTCAAAGACTGTGTCCTGTTAGCCTTTCCCAGGCCACATCCTGGGCCTCATCCTGCAGCAAAACAGACTTGTTCCCTTTAGAATGTGTACACAAAGCAAGAGGCAAAATTCACAAAGGCCACTTTTAGCTCAAAGTGTTCATGCCCAGCTGGGGAAATAAGCTTTGGTGGTGGTGGTGGTGTCTATGTGTCAGTGGGTGGGTGGGAGAAAGGACCTTTCAGGAACCTCTCCTGCCTCTCCTGCTGTTTGTTATCCTGGAAACCATGGCTGCTTTGAAACTGGCTGCTGAATTCCTCCTCCTGCCAACTTCTGATCTATGTGCATGCCCTGGCTGGGGGAAGGGAAGTCAAGCCAGGAAGCTCTCCTTTCCACAGGTCCACTACCCAAACACACAGTACATGGGAAACCTCCAAGTTTATGGCAACCTCTACACCAGGATGTCCCTGGATAAGCCTAGTCAACTTGCTGAAGGTGCTGTGGCACTTCCAGCCCAATGTAGGGTCAGCTGCTGCCATGTCCTGCCTCAGCCTGAGAGGCTTCAGGGAGCTCACTTCCAATCCTGATCATCCCCATGCTCCATCCAGTCCCTGCTGAGGATAGGGGTAGCAGTGGTTGCTGAGCAGGGCAGAGAAGGGAAGGCTGGGTAAAGCCTGGGGCTCCGAGGGACAGACAGCGGGAAGCCAACCTGTCTGGGGGCTGTGGGGTGACACCTAGGAGGTGGGATTCCATAGGAGCTGTGGCTCCAAGTCTCCCTACCCTCCCTTCCTGCCCCTATGCATGCTCATGGTCCCATCAGACTTCACTTACAAAGCACACATTCAAAGATATAATCATTAAGAATTTCACGGCCCGGCGTGGCGGCTCATGCCAGTAATCCCAGCACTTTGGGAGGTTGAGGTGGGCGAATCATGAGGTCAGGAGTTTGAGAACAGCTTGGCCAACATGGTGAAACCCCATCTCTACTAAAAACACAAAGAATTAGCTGGGCATGGTGGCAGGTGCCTGTAGTCCCAGGTACTCAGGAGACTGAGGCAGGAAAATTGCTTAAATCCGGGAGGCGGAGGCTGCAGTGAACTGAGATCACACCACTGCACTCCAGCCTGGGAAACAGAACAAGACTCCATCTTAGGAAAAAAAATTAGCTGGGTATGGTGGTGCACACCTGTAATCTCAGCTACTCTGATGGCTAAGGCAGGAAAATAAATTGAACCTGGGAGGCAGAG